CATATTAAATCGTTTGGCTTTGATATTAAACTGGTATAGTATTTATTGGAGATCATCTTCGTTCTCTGTTAACAAAAACTCGTCATAAACATCGCATATTATCTTTATCTCCTTGCTTGCCGGTTGTTTTTTTTTATTTTTACTAGCTTAAAACCTCTCTACTATATTAAATATAAAAGAATAAATATTACAACTGGACTTCCATATCTGATTCCAGTTGTAGTGTTTATAGATTCTTTTTTTTTTCTATTGGAACTTTTATTTCGGTTCTGTTTCTTACATGTCGGTTCTCTATTATTTTTATGATATCAAGTAATCTGGATTATCTGTTGTACAGATGTATATCGCATCCGATAGTCTCACTGTGTCGTAGGACATTTCTAAATTAACCAAACATAGTTAGGCTAGTTCATTATATTATTATATACTTCTCTGCACAAGAAACTTGTTGTTAGTCTGGTATACTAATCTTTTCTTCAAATTATTTGATATTATTTTTAATTTCAAAATAGTACTTAACAATTCCTTTAGAGTATTATGGTCGCACATTACACCTATTGTAAAAGAAAAAACATAATACTCGTTCTCCACTCCTCATGTATTGTTGATGACCTTAACCCTTTATTAAATATTATGGTTAACTGTTGTATAAGCCATATTTTATTAATTTCTTTTCTGTTTTTTAACTTTATGATGACTTCTTTTATCTCATGTTTTTATCATTTGCGTTAACTCATGTGATGTTATATCGGGAGTTTCAAGAGCATGTTCAGTTTCCTTTGTTCGATTTATTTGTCTAATATTATGTTGTCCATTTTTTTATTTATGTTGATATCTTATATTAATTCCTTAATATCTGTTATATGTCCCTCTTATAAACTTTTACTGTTTTATTGTTTTCTTCGGCCTAATTTGCCCATATGCCGTGTTACGAACTCTCTTATATTCATAAGTCCCCTGCGTTCTTTCAGATCTAAATTTTATATAAACATTCTTTTTTCCCTTCAGATATATTTCTATACTTTGGGTAAACATTATAGTGTACGTTTTCTTTCATTTAAGTTTGTGTTTATTTTTATTCCTCCTAGAGGCTTGTTTGCTTTATGTTGTTTTAATTCTTTTCCCAACTAACTTAGTTATCTTCATCGCATGTAACGCTTTGTTGTTAAATTATTTGATCTAGCCTACTTTGATATAGTTTTTTGTCAAAATTGTCTTTAATAATTTTAGTTTCTAGTGTTGGTAGTTTGTGTTTATGATTCTTAATCGAATTAAGATGACTTTTTTCCAAAACTAAATTGTGGCCAGTTCCTACGTTAGCTTAGATCAGGCTCCCTACATCTAATACTTGCTGGTATTATTAATTTATATTTGTAAGAATATGGTATCTCATTGATTTGTGTCCAGTTGTGTTAAATGTTCTTAAAAAAGTATTACATTGACTTAAATAACCAAAATTATTATATTTCTTTCAATAAATATCAGGTTCAAATTTTTAGAAATCATAACAATATTTTGTCATATATAAGCTTCTGTTTAAAATATAGGTTACTTAAATATTATACTTTTGCCGTTTTTAAGATCATAAATCTATTTTGAGGTATCCATTACTTAAACAATCACGAAATGAGAAATAACTTTCTTGGCTTAAATAGGAAATAAAGAGGGGAATCCCCGAATTATCGAAATACGCAGTGAGCGAATTGACAACACCGTATGAGTCTATAAGGTCGTGTATATGAGGCCCCAAGACCACAATACGGATAAAAATTATACTGCTGAGGCTATAAAATCGGAAATCGGCACGAGGTGGTAATGATAGGAGAACCGAGGGGAGAGTATATGTTAAATTTTGTTTTATCCAAATAGAAACTAGGGCATTAAGAATGTTTTGTTACCTGTTTCGATATACACGACGACTAAAATATTATATACACCTGGAAATAGGAGAGGCCGTAAGGTTGCGCTATGGTTTGAGTCCTTAAGGATAGTAGTATGTAAATATATATATATATATATATATATATATATATATATATATATATATATATCAAAGATTTTTTACAATCTGTTTCACAATAAAAACGACAAGTAAATTGTTTTGTAATGTCAAAGAGATATAGATGGGCGTTATATAACGTATTCGGATAAATAACACTATTACCAATAAGTATTCGTTTTCTCAATAATAGGTTACAGCAAACTGTCTATTACTTTTGTCACAGTGTAATTATAACGTAAAACGCAATGGTATTTGAATCGGCATTCGATATGTTAACGTGACCGTGACAATATGGAACGATGGGAATTGTTCGCTCAATCAGTAACAGAATAGGGTAGTCATTGTCACCGAATTTATGATGAGCTGTATGTTTTGCCACTTAATAGCTGGGAATACCACCGTAAGCACGTACGCTTATTAAGACAGAGACTATGTTTATTGTTATTACAGTATGATATTAGAATTTGCTTGTCCTTATTCTAATGTAGTTATTTGTAGTTAATGCAAAACTAAATTCTCGAGTTATTTAATAGAATAATATTATACACTAATATTTTTTCCTCTCGCCTTATATTACATAAGTTATGTATATATCTAATATTTTATTTATAATTTATGTATAGTTTAGTAGTTGAATCATCTATTTTTAAGCCTCTGTCAGCTGTATATGTTTAATATTTATTTGTAACAACCATCAAATGTATGAAGAATGTTTATCACTCACGGTTGAAACAAAAATAAACTATAAATACTAAAAAGCATTCGTTTATTGAAAAAGATATTATGATTACTACAAGAAACTACAGCAAGCCAAGCGAAATGGAGCTGCTTGCAGCTTGGGTAATAGGCGACAAAAGTAATAGGTTACCGGAACCTATTACCTGTCTGTCACCGGAACGATGGAACCTATTACTACAAAGTAACTGTATTTTCCATGGCTACCAACGAGATGTAAAGTCTAGTGACCAAAGCATCAGAAAACACGAATATTGGCTTGTTTGCCGGTGGGATGTGAAGGAACAAGTGGAACAAGATCTGAAAACACTTAAGATTACCAACTGGAAAAACAAAACAAAGAACAGAACAGAATGGCGGAAAATCCTAGAACAAGCCAGGACCCAGAAGGGGTTGTCGAGCTACTGATGATGATGACCGGTGGGATGCACACATACACAGATACGCGAACACGAATACTAAAACGGCACAAATCACAATGGTTGGGCGCTGTTGAAGGCGCTCACTACTGTAGACACTGTCAGAATCGGTTTGGTAGGTCCAAGGGATCAAATCGCTTCAATATTTTCGCTTATTGGTTGTTAAGTTGTTAACACGCACCCTGTTTTGATATTGTTCAGAAATTATTTTGCACTCTTCAAAGACTGTTAGTACCTGCAGATCTCTATATAAGGCGTCATTCTGGATATACAAAGGGGCATTAGCGATTGTTCTTAGAGTTTTAGATTGAAATCTTTGTATTTTCATATCATTAGATTTGCTAGCTGATCCCAGAGCTGCGAACTATATGTCCAAACGGGTTTTATTATTACTTTGTATATCAGGAGTTTGTTCTCGATCGATAGGTAAGTTTTTTCCCAGCATTCAGTAAAGTTTTCTGTATAAAATTTGTTGCATTCTTTTCGTCCATATATGTTTAGTCCATGTTAATTCTTTGTCCAGATGAATGCGTAGATATTTTACTTCAACCTTTCGGAGTAAAAGATGTCCATCGAGGTTAACTTGTGAACATATACCTTTTATTAGACTAAATCTAATATGTGTAGATTTTGAGGAGTTTACTTTTAATTCTCCAGAGGTTAAACCATTCATTAGTTTTGTTTAGATGTAGTTGCAGTATCTCTAATGCTATTGCTTGATTACTATGAGATGTAAGGAAAGCAGTATCATCTGCAAATGTTGCAAGTGTTAGGTTATTGCTTATTGGTAAGTCAGAGATAGGACATTGGTAAGGTACACCACATAGGATGGGTAGAGTTTTGTATAGGTTTTACTATACCTTACTAGATATCTCCTTTCTGCCAGATATGATTTAAGGAGTTTGAAGTAAGTGTAAGATAGGTATTTCTTTAACTAGTACAGAAATCCTGTGTGCCACACCTTGTCAAAAGCTTGGGAGGCATCTAAAAAGGCAGCAGTACAATATTGCTTGTTTTCGAGACTAATTGTTATTGTTGTGCTGTGAACTTATTCTATTGTAGCGTGTTGGTTACGAAATCTGAATTGATGGTAAAGTATGAGGCCCTTTTTGTCCAATATTGGTTTGATTGTTCTTAATAAAAGTTTTTCAAAAACCTTAGAAATGACTGGGAACATACTTATTGGTCGGTATGAGATGGTCTTTTGGATCTTTACCAGGTTTTTGAATGACTATATATGTGCCATTTTATATTGCAAAGGGTAGTAGTGCGACTTAACATAGCATTGAAAATAATTGTGATTACTCTGTAGCAATCATGGGTTAGTTTTTGAAGGACATTGCGGTTATTGAGTTACTTCTTTAATGTTAAATTGGGAGATTGGTAGTTCCATTTGATACGGAGTTTCAAGAAAAGAATAAAGTAGTTCTTCTTGTTCTAGAGGCGCTACTCTGGTAAATAGACTAAATACTTTGGAAAGATGTTCTGTGAATGTCTCGGATTTCCCTTATATAGGTTTTTGTGGGGGAATGGTGTTTCACCTATTACCATATTCTTAATCATAGCAAAGTTTGTGTGTCTCAGTCCGTTGTTATTTGAGTTTGCGTGTGGACCCTGTTTACAGATGGTGGGAAAAAAGGTATTCCCTTTTCCGACTTTATCATTAAAGTATCCTGCTATTATTTTAACATTTTTTTTGTGCTTATCAGTGCCTCATATAACGTGGCTGAATCTGTCCACTCGTGTGAATAACTTAAGTTTGTGGTTAATTATCCAAACAATAGCTGTAATCCTGCTTTATTATACATCTAATAATGGATATTATTGTAGTTATTCTTTTTCAGATGTGTCATCCTGACATTGATGTAGGTGAAAAATACTATTGCAACTTTTGTAAATTTGTTACAAAATTGCCGGAAAATCTCGTTCGACACACTAGCTCTGTACATCAGGAAAATCCGAATATGAAAATGTTTAACTGTACGGAGTGTCCCTTTAAGACAAGAATTAAATGGAATTTGGAAAAACACCTTTTAAGGTATGTACCCTTTAATATTCACTTATAGTTAGGCCTTTGACATTTTTTGTGAATGATCTTTTAGATATCAGAATATAATCAGTATACTAGAAATTTAATAAGATTGGTAATGACTCATATTGTAAGTCCCAAATACGTAGTAGAGAGAGCGGTACTGATTTATTTTTCACGTTTCTCTTTCAATATAAAATGTTGTCGCTAACATCTGTAATATACAAAGTAAACTCGCCGTATTGTGAAATTTACTATTTACTATAACGTACGGTAGAAGTATCACGGATTTATCCGTAAAATAGTAGTAAAATATTTACGACATCTGTTTAACCTCGACTGCAAACAAACAGTGAAATCGGATAGTCGCCAATATTTAATGACCGCACCGTCGGTTAAAATGGAAACGAAATCGACGCGACCCACAATGGGGTGAAAAAGCCAAAAGGCGCTTAAAAATGATTTTTTTTTTCCTATATTCAATCAATTGATAATTAGTAAATATGCATAGCCCTACCCTTTAGGCAGTCAGAACCCAGAAAGTTTTGTTTTGACAATTCTGATCAGCCCAGAAAACCTAGAGAATTCAAAGTTTTTTTCCAAGACCTTAAAAAAGCCTTTTATGTACTCTTTGAAAAACGTATTAGTTAGCCCTCAAGGGTCTAAATGAAGATTCTGAAAGGGAATTTGCTGCGTAAACCTGCGCTACATTTTGCTGAGATTATCGATTTTGGGACCGCAACAAATATGCAAAAAAAGTTTACCCACATGGGGGGAAATCCTTGCGTCGTAGAACAAAATGTTTCAAATAAGAAAATTTAGCTGAGATTATTTTGAACAGAAATGTTTAGTAACACTTTCTGTTTAATGAACTGTTCGCTCTGAAACAATGCTTGAAGCGACCGGCGTTTTTGAATTTCAGTTACGCGTAGACAATCAATTTTAAATAGAATTTATATCAACTTGACGGTAAGAATTCGATATCTTTTGATCAGAATATCCTATTGACAAAAATAAAAATTCTGAGACCTGTCGTCTTTCCTATATAAATGTGTGCTTTTTAAACATAAATTTAAATGTACCGAATGATTCACACAATTAAACCTACTCCATCATATTTATTTTTATTGAAACACCCTGTACATTTTTATGTTTTTAGAAGCTACTTAATCCCATCTTAAAAATTATATTATGTAGGTTCTATTATGAATAATGCAAGGTGGAATTTTGAAATTATGTATAATTTTCATCATGAGAATAACAACATAAAATTTTGAATGGTATTTTTTTAATTAGCTAAATACAGGCATCAAATATCTTAACTAATGCACAACCTGAAAGGTTACACTGAATTTTGCATCAACCGACCCAATCAGAACTATGTTAGTGGAGCAGTAGCTCTATATAAGTCAATATACCTATCCAAAATATAAACCTCGTAATTAATATCGTAGCAGTCGCTGTAACAGTACTGGTAGTGGCCCCACTAAAGTTCATTATTTGTAGCATTTATGTTTTACTAGATGACACTCTAACTAAACAAAATTATTTAATCTTCTCCAACAAATTCCCTCCCCTCGAATAATTACGGGAGATTTTAATGACCATAACATTACATGGGGATCAAATAAAACACAGAGAGAAAATATGTTTTTAAGACAATGTTTTTAACCTTATCTTCTGCCATTGATGTCTCCATATGCGAACCCTCATTGCTCTCCTAACTCGATCTTCTTCTTTAAGTGCCGTCTCACAATCGGAGGTTGGATATCATCATCACTATCTTTACTTTATCTACTACTGCTCTAAAGAGTTCTATAGAACTGCATTTAAACCAGTCCCTTAAATTCTTCAAGCATGACACTCTCCTTCTTCCTATACTCCTTCCTCCTCTTATCTTTCCCTGTATTATCAGCCTTAGCAGTTCACATCGCTGTCCCCTCATTACGTGTCCCAGATATTGTAACTTTCTTATTTTTATTGTGTTTATTATTTCGCATTCTTTGCCCATTTTTCGCCATACTTCCGTGTTAGTTTTCCTAAGAATCCTCCTGTAACACCACATTTCATAGGACTTTAACTTATTTATGTGTTCTTGCTTCAATGTCCAGCTTTCAAGTCCATATTGCAGTATCGAAAACACGTAGCATATCAGTGCTCTTACTCTCAGTTCTAATATAAGATCTTTATTGCAGAGAATTGTTTTCATTTTTACAAACGCATTTCTTGCTATTTCTATTCTAGCTCTTACTTCAGTTGTTTGGTCATTATTGTCTGAAATCCAGGTTCCTAGGTATTTGTATTTATCAACCCTTTCTATCGGTACATCTCCCAAATGTATGTTTGTTGGTATATTTGTTTTCTTTGTTATCATGTGTTTGGTCTTTTTTATATTCATTTTTAGTCCATATTTTTCTCAGAAGCTGTTTGTTTTGTTTAGCAGTAACCTAACCTAACTCGATCGGATAGCACTAAAACATTTGTATAGTAGTGACCACTTCTCAATCTGAATTAAACGTACAGTTAATTTAAATACAAATACAATACCAACTCAAAAATAGAAACTAAAAAAGGCAGATTGGATTGAATTTGAATAAATTATATCAGAGAGAATGAATCAAAGTAATTATTTTATACAGCTTGTATTGGATGCTGCTAATATAGCCATAGAAAAATCTCAACTTTTAAAGAAACACAAACCAGTTTCCTGGTGGAATACACAATGTGAGGCCGCCACTCAATTAAGTAAAACAATTTGGAACCGATAAAACAAGTACAAAAATATTTATCTATTAGCAGAGTACAAAAAATGTAGAGCTGAAGCAAGGAGAATCATAAAAAAAAGCAAACAAAAATCCTGGGAGAAATACATATCTAGCATTAATGAGTTGTTAACTTACAAACAACGGGAGGAGGTAGTACCTATTACAATTTTTGACAAATTTGATCCTATCAATACACCTCTAGTTATGGGGAGTTTCAAGAAGCACGAAAGCTATCTTAAAGAACAACAAAATAGAATCTCACAGTGATCGATCATCAGTCCTACTCTATTTTTATTAGCAATAAACGATATAATAAAAATCATTGTGAAACCTGATCAGGTAAGGCTATATGCTTATGACCTTATTATTTACATCAAAGGCAACAACGTTAATCTTATGGCGTCAATATTACAAGAATACATAAATAAACTATTAAATTGGTCCCTAAGTACCGGTTTCAGCTTTTGCTCTAATAAATTTCATTTTGAAAACAAAATGTATAATATTATCATATCATATCAAAGACATATCGAGGATAAACCGAACCTAATGCTTGAAAACCGAAATCTTTTCTACACAAACGAAATAAAATTTCTATGAGTGATATTTGATCAACAGTTAAATTGAAAAAGTCATATCCAGCAGTTAGTTATTTCTTGTCGAAATGGCCTTATCTTGTTAAAGTACCTAGCTTACAAAACTTGGGGTGCCAATGGTAAAACACTACTCAGGTTATACATATCCTTAATTCGTTCCAAAATTGATTACTGATGTGTTGCATAAGCATCAACCAGCACAAAAACGTGAAAACATTTGGATACGTTACATAATATCTCCCTAAGGGTTATACTTGGAGTGTAAAGAACAACTCTGATAAATAGCATATAAGTTGAAATAGGAAAACCCACGCTATAGCTTCGTAGGCAGCTACTAACTCTTAATAACACTTCTAGCATAACTCTAAATTAAAGAATTCCAATAAATAACATTTTAGACATAGCTAACGACTCCTCAAAGTTTAATCTCCCATATTCCCGCAGAATTTATCATGAAATGAACGTACTTAATTGGAAGCAATTTCCACCTCTATATCAATACAAAAATATATCTTCATCTTCACCTTGGCTTATAAAAATTCCAACAGTCAGTTGCAGTCTAATTCCAAAAAAAAATAGCACCAACCCTAATTTTATTATACAGCTCTTCAGAGATCTAATTAACTTCCATTCCGATTACACAGTATACTATAGAGATGCGTCTAAAACCAAAATATGCAAATAAGATGAACAAAATATTAATCGTGACATATTCTATATTCATCACTACAAATAATAAGAAAAATATGCACGCAGCATTCATTAGCTTTACTAATAAAGAAAGAACTATATAAATTGCATACTAAAGATACAAGCATCAAGTTTCTCTGGGTCCCATCACATGTTGGAATAACAGGTAACGAAGCAGCAAACAAAAATGCCAAAGAAGCTATAAACAACAAAAGTATCCCCATATCACCCCAATCTGTAAGTATGGATCTAAAAAGCTACTTCATGAAGCACATGTTCGAGAACTGGAACAATAAATGGAAATCCACAACATCAAAGCTTCAGGAGCTAAAAAGTAAGATTGGACCATTGCAACCACCCTGGGTATCCAGATGAAAGCAACTTATTTCCCGTTTACGACTTGGACGTACCCAGTTTTCTCATGAACGTTTGTTTATGAAAGAAAAAGAGAACAAGTGCTTGTGGAAAAGTGCGAAAAGTTCAATCGTCCCAGAATTAAATACCATTTACCAAACAATCTTAAAGTCATTTTAAATTTAATATACACTATAAATAACCTACTTTTGTTTTTAAAAAACTTTAATTTACCTCTGTAATTCTTTGTCAGTATCTGGAGGGACAATCCCTCCAGATACTGACAAAGAATGTAGCGTAGAATCTTTAAAGTAATTTTAAACTGTTTGTCCTCGTTTTAGTGTAGTGTTTTGTACAATTTTATGTCATTATTAATGTTTCCACATTCTACGCTTGCCGGATGGTTTATATTTGACGAAATGCCCCTGAAGATGCTATTTTAAGCGAAAGTACTTGGGCTAGATTTAATTAACTTGTGCTCGATAATAGCCTTATTTTTCAAAGTTCATTTAAATTTATGTTTAAAAAGCGCCTATTTATAAAAACAAGGAGATTTCCACACTATAGGAATGATACCTCGCACAACTTCTTTGAAAAATATTTG